TGTTGATGATGGGCTACTGCTGTGTGACGTCGACGTTGTGGCTGCCGCAAAGCGCACGGACAGCTTTTTCATGCCTGTCACGGTCATCTGAGTAAACAAAAAAACAGGACATTAAGAAGCAGCTCCATTAGGTGATGTGCAATTTCTTTGGCTTAGTTTTTTACATTCACATAAGACAAAAAACAGCACGATGTTCCCACCTGTGGGGTAAGTAGGGTAGTGATGGAGCGCTCTGCCCGATCGGTGGTGATATACGTGCGGTGCTTCCCATCCAACAAGGCCATCTCCTCCAGAGCAAGCAGCATGGTGTTCACATTGCGGCTGTTAGCATTCTTCACAAGCGCTGCCCCACTGACAGCACACGACCGAGTTGGCTTCAGCAAAGGAGGCGTAAGCGGTGGCGACGAGGGTAGCGTCACCTTTTTCGGACTAGCGAGGGGAGTGGCAGTCGCCACCACTTCTGCCCGGCCACCATACTTGCCGCCCCTACTGCCGTACTTGCCGCCCCTGCTGCAGCGCTTTCCGCGGGTCCCGCGCTTGAAAGACTTTTGCGTCGCTCTCAACGCCGCTGTCGAAATTTTGCCCCGGCCAGCCAGCGCGCCACGTTTTTGTGTCACACCTGATAGTGGCAATGGCGGCGGCGGTGGAGACGTGGTGCAGGTCTGAGCAAATGCCTCCCTCTCCCCGGCGGACCGCGCTGGGCCCGCACGGCGGCGTAGCACACTGTCTAGGGTGCGCACGTACGTGCTGCCCGTGCGTGGCGTCTGGAAGGTGACACCGGCCGCCTTGCTGGCGTACATGTTCGGCCGCTGTTCTAGCAGTTTTTCTTCCTCCTGCAGGTACTCGTCCAGCTTGTCACTCAGGAAGACTGATCGGTTTTTGCCCAGCGTGTTCATGTCTGTGGGTGATAGCAGTGGGCACGCAATTTAGCGATTAAAACGTATTCTTACATTCACAATACATGCAAAGAATCATGCACATGAGAATTGATTCGTTATAATTTAAGAAAACCAGTTGAAAATTGCATGTTGTTACATTTAGGATAACAGTGAATAAAACTGTACAAATGAGATGTTAAAGATTAATCCCAACGACGTAGTAAAAATGAGATAAAAATATTTTTTTGAAATCGCAAACCGGAATCGTAACATTTCATAAGAATTACTGAAAAAGTGCATTATTAAGAACTATATTTCCTGAGTAAGCCAATTGCGCTGTACAGCTCTATTTCGAGGGTGACCAGTTACATGCCTCTAGGGCACAACGCAGAACAGAGGTGAATATGAGTCACATGGGAACGCACCTGGGGCACCTGCACTGCCACTGGATGACACTGGGGTCTGTAGCCCAAACTTGTGCTGCCACCCTTTAATCTTCGTCACGTCATTCGTCTTTCCAGTTCGAGACACAAACCTTGGATCAGCACCTGAACAATTAATGATAAGTAATAGCCCAACTGAAAACAAATTCAAACAGGCTGATATGCAGAGTAAAGCTGATCTAGTCACACGATTCATAGCTTGGAATCGTGATTTGATTTTTGACAGAGTGGGATTAGCAGAACCGTGGAAGGGGGAGCTGGGGGATGTGTGGAATTCAGAGTGGTATTCAGGCAAAAATGAAGGACTCGTGGGTCCTGGCCAGCTTAGTGCTATTGACATGTGTGTAAAACACATGTTTCAATAGCGATCCTGCTTAACAGCCAGTTGTTACGGACACCAATGTTCAGAGTGTGTACATGGCTCGATTCCACCCTGATTTTGCTGTGCCATTTAGGCAAGTTGGGAGGGCCAGTGGGGTATGGATGGCCTTGAATCGGTTTTAACATTGGAATCAACTTTAAAATAATGCGATACTTGCAAGAACTATAGAGGTTGAATTTGTAGGAATCGAACAGGATTCTGCAGAAAATGCACAGCTCTAGTGTATAATGTACGTACAAATTAGCATACTCAGCTAAAAACCAAGCCAATCACATGCCGAATTTTATTATTTTTCACTGGGTTCAGAGTTCAGCACTCTGCTTTTGAGGTATCGGATAAGCACCCAGCTTCGTTCTAATTTTGAAAAGCAATCCCAGCTAGGACAGCGATGAACACGAACCTGACTCGTCATTCCCTTTGCTTTTATGGAACTGACTGAGCGCAGACTGAAGCCTATCTTGCAGCCTCTGAATTCTTTCTTGTGCTCTCCCGGTTGAGACTGATAACAAAAAAGAGCAAAGTGTTTCAAAGCAAAGCAGCATGTCACTGGTCAATGCTTTAAAAGTTGATAACAGTGGTGGCTATAGTTATCAAATGTTCAATATTAAAAAATATTAATTATTTAAGTGTGAACATTTTGCTAAATTATGCATTATAAAACTTTCAATAATCAGCTTTTGCTGTTACGATTACACCATGTACAGCCGTGTGGGTGACGATTTAAAAGCAACGTTATGTTAAACATGGTATTTAACAAATGCGTCTTTTTACCATGCTCTGCACTGTTGTCGCTTAATGTTGGGGACAAACGAAGGGTTTCCAATTTTTCTTGCTCCATGTTCCGATGAGCCAACATAGCCTCCTGATTGAAATAGTAACCACATTGCAAACAAAAGCAGCTGTTGATCAGACACATTTCACAAACAGCACTATTATTTTTATTCTACTATAACATTCATAGAACTCAAATTATACTAACCAATTCCAAGCACTGTCAGTTTAATTCAATTAATAACCCATGCAACTTGCAAAACAATGATTTAATTCACGACATGGGAAGGCGGACTTAACTTTCACACTATTTTCAGATGCAAGACTAAAAATAGTGATGTATTATCTAGGTCTTACATTTTAACTCCAATATTAATGCGTACTCTACCAAAACTTGTCAATGCAGTACAAAGACTTTTGTTTTTCAAACATGAAAGTTTTGAAAAAGAAAATCTTTCACTAAATTAAAATTTTACACATTGTATTATATTTATTCTACAATAAAGCAAAATTACACTGTCGATGAGCAGCACACATTACGGAATGTATCCCGCACGAGCTCTAAGGACCACTGGTCCAATCTTAACCACATATGCATAATTTTACTGGTAGGAACGAAGTGGACCAGCCTACAATAGATTATATCGTCCGTCCGTCCGACCGTGTAGCAACATCGCCCCCTACTGCAAACACTTGGCACGACCCTACAAAAACATTTAGACTCAGTGACGCTTTCCTGGCTAAACAAGTGTAACGTTCCCTTATAATTCCCTCAGATAGCTTTTAATTAAAACATAAAAAATAATGAGGCTTTCCTGGCTAAACAAGTGTAACATTCCCTTATAATTCCCTGAGATAGCTTTTAATTAAAAAACTTTTAAATTCAAATTTTACTCACAGCGCCCTAAAGCCTACAGCTAGGCCTAAAGCCTCGAACTACGCCTATCACTCTCCCTTCGTATCGTACCCCGGCGTGTGTGCAAGGGAGTTAATATTTAACAATGTTACATTCCCTGATGCTTTTAAATATAAACATTTAAATTTAAAGCTTTTACATAAATAATAAAAACATTTAATTTTAAAATTAACTCACGGCGGCCTAAAGCCTACAGCTAGGCCTAAAGCCTAGAACTAGGCCTCACACTCTCCCTTCGTATCGTCCGATTCGGTGTAGCAACATCGCCCCCTACTGCAAACACTTGGCAGGACCCTACAAAAACCTTTAGACTCAGCGGGGCTTTCCTGGCTAAACAAGTGTAATACATTATGTTTATATTCTTTGGTTATTCGTTCCTACCAGCCCACCCCGCAGGGTCCTGTTTGTCATATCATGCAAACTAAATCCACGCAAGGAAATGATTATGTATATCACACATTCTGTTTTGACCTCATACGTAATCCATATTTTTACGCATCAAAATGTCCATAAACGCAGCTTTTCTGGAAAACTGCTAGACGGTGGTCATCATTCCAAACACACAGCACGCCAAGCATCACACCTTGTTGGAGAAGGAGAAGAAGGACACTCCTCCGACATCAACTCTGTCGGCTTGGTGTTCCGTGTGAGGATCGTGGTGGGTGGCGGTAGTGGCAGCGGCGTCGGTACGTTGAGTGGGGGCCTCCCAGGCCAGTCCACGCGGTGCCGCTCTGCGGCCCCGGGGCTGGCTCGAGCCCGGCGTCGGGGAAGGTGTTCTCGAGCGAGAGCAAAGGGAGCCCGAGCGCGACGACACCGACGAGAAGGAGGGCGGCGGAAGTTGGAAAGCCGGCGCGTTGCCTTCCTTGGGCGGGGTCCACACCCACGAGGAGAAACCCGTGTGCCCGATCTTGAGCGCTGGCAGCACGCTGCCCTTGCCGTTGTCGCTCACGTACTCTCCCTTCGGGGCGTCCGGGTGTTCCGTTGTCTCCTTGGCATCATCCTTCGGCACGGACGTCAGATTCAGCAACCTCATATTCAATTCTGACCGCGTCGGCTTCACATCTTCGGGGATTACATCCATGGCATCGCCAGAAATTGCCTCGTTCAAATGAGGAATTGTCGGAAGTGGTTGTACTGGCAAAGGGCTCTTTCCGGGTCTTTCCTTAACATCTGACACATCAGCTCCATTACCCTCTGACAAACACAGTTTGCTGGGTTTTACATCGTCCGTTGGCTCAGACCAGTGTGGCGGACTTTCGCTCACCAGCACGATCAACGGTCGGTCGCCACATGCGGATCGCGAGAGAGAAATCTGCGGAATGCTGTACGAGTACAAGACGGAGGATGGCAGTTCACCAAGCTTGACTGTGGGCTTTGATATGTTACATTGCTTCAAGCGCACAACGGGAAACAGATTTTGGTTCAGCAGATGAGAAGTAGGGCACTTGGGATCCTTGCCCTGCTCCACCGATGTAGGCACAATCATGGCTCCTGCACGAGCAGATTCCACCTTACTAATGAGATTTGACTTGCATGTGCTGTTCCCAACAGGCAATAAACAATCACTCAAAGGGATATTCTGGAGTACACCTTGGGACTCTCCTTTCCCTCCCAGACTGGAGGGAGGGTCAACGTTTTCCACCAACTCCTGCCAGGTGTCATTAGGTTCGTCTTTGACTTTGCTGATGTCAAACAAAGTGTTTTGATCCTTACAGCCATTGGAATTGTCGTCTCGTTTCAACTTATTCCTGCGAAAGTTGAGAAAAAAAAGTCACGTAACAAACACATTTATTCATTCAAAATAACTAATTAAATGCCAACATAAAGAAAAGATTGCTATAAACAAGTAAAAGAAAGAAACACACCTTATTACACCATCTCCATTTGTTGACTTATCCGACAGCACATCTTCTTCCAACATCCCAACAGATCCATCTCCTCGGCTGGCATCATACGAGCGGTCGTTAGTCCCAACCATGCAAGCGTGATCCCTCTTCCCTGACGAGCCCAGCGAGACCTCTCTCCCTCACGCCCTGCTGGGAGTTGAGCGCCAAGCCACTGCCGTCACCGCCTCCCTCCTCATCCTGGTTCAACACGTCTGGCTTTGGCTCTGTGCTCCAAGCAAGGGGACTGTGGCTTATCTTGAGGTGGGTGATGGCCGTGTTTTGGTAGGCGGTGACGGCAAAGAACTCTGTCTGCGGGAAGATGAAGGTGTGCACGTTGTCCGCGTCCAGTCGCAGGTGGCGTGGCACCTTGTTGGCCCGGATGATGTGGAAGCGCGTCACGTACTTAAACATGGGGACGAGGGAGATCACCCCGTCCTGACCCAAAGCGGTGTTCGTCAGCTTCACCTACAGCCATCACAAACAACAAGCATAGCAGTGTCGATCAACGGCTGTTGTGAAGGCACTGAAAGTAAAGTGAAGCCTTGCCATGATTATAAAATTGGAAGTTTGACCAACATAAATAATGACAATGGCACTAAAAAAACCACATCGGATGTTGTCGGTTATAATATGGAGTCAAGTTTAACCGTGCTACATCATAAATGTAATCCAACAACTGTGCGTTTACGAATTTTACACGAAAATATACATTTACGTACCCCTAAAGTAGGTATGCCTATGCCTAATAATACATAAATCTTAACTTTTTATCAAAGCTCTTGCACATGGAATAGAATAAGAGCTGGAAATAATTTAAAAATACTTGGGACACTTTCTTCCCACGCTGTATTGATTCTGGGGGTTGTTTGGTCAAAGTTGACCATGCTCATCATCAGTGTAGGTTTGTGAAGTGTGGGCCCAGGATCTGTTCAGATATCATTCGCCAGCGATGTTTGCCCATGGGAGGGAATCATAACCGAGATCATTGAAATCCAAGAGCAGTGAGAGATAATCACTGCACCACCGCCGCTCAATCCTAATTCCACGTGGCACTTAAAATAATACTGGCGCTTGCGTAAGGTGCCAACCACTTTTACCTCTGAAAACGAGATGCTCTCGTACATCCAAAAGGAGCCAGGCGCGACACCCTCCTGGTGAACGTAGACGCTGTCAGGAATCTGTGGTCTCCCCCGTTCTATTGGCATCCAGCAGCCCTCACCCCAGCGGTAGCGGTGTCCGTCCACCGGCACGACGTCAATTGCCATCAGGTAGCAGCTTTGAGGATCCAAGCCACGGATCTGGTAATAACACAGACATTCAGAATAGATCAGTGTTCATTAAAGCGGGCATGTCTGGTGGTGGTCTGGTAGCTTGGGGTGCTACTATAAGGCTACTTGTCGAAGCAGAGTCGGTACCAAGACAGCCAATTGTGAATAAACCCGGTTCTCACGTCTAATGATATTAAAGTAACCGATGATACGTTAGGGCATGTTAAAGCAGACATTACCAAGTCCTAACCATAAACTACTGTCCAGCAGAGGGGAGTTTTTTTTCTTATACAATTATTTGTGTTCCCCAATAAGTTGAACTAGCAATTGGTAATCACATTTTCAAGTCATTACAAACAATAACAAGGTTTCTTCATTAATCGCTACGCAACTTTTGCATCAAAAGTTAAGAGTTTGAGCCACAGAAACTAAGGCAAACCGAGACACAAGGAGACACGCGCAATGCGACTTTGCCACGGGAGCCAACCCACCTTATAGCGGCAGTACGGGAACATGCGGCGCCCGGCCTTGGTGAGGATCATTTCAGTTCCCCACGAGTGGAAACGCTCCCACACCTCTCGGTTGTCGAGCGTCACTTGGAAGCCAGACGAGCGGATCGTGTAGGCCATGCCCCGCGCCTCCTTGCGCTTGCAGGGGCTCAAAGCTGGACTCCTGCCATCCTGATTTCTTTCCTGCGCTGCCCCCACCACCCCCGCCATGCCCTGCAGCAGGGAGGTGGGAGGAGGGATCATAGAGCTCGTAGGAGACACGACCCTGCTGCTGCTGCTGCTCTCGCTACTGCTATTGCCACCACACTCAAGTAAATCCATTATTGTGATGCTTGTGGGGGGCTTGAGGACTGAAATGGCTTCCAGAAGACCAGAAGTCAACTCATATCGCAGCCATGGTCTCTTCACCTACACTGCCAGAGGGAATTGAAAGGATAATACGCAAAAGAATTGGTGTTATGATAGATGTACATTTTTAAGTTATGCAACTTGCATGAAAAAAAACACGTTAACTTTCATGTTTGCTGGAAAAAAAAAAAAATATATTGAAATAGCGAAATTCATTCTAACACATATGGACAAGACACTACCAAGGCATTAAGTCGTAGCATCAGTGAACACTTAATAACAATAAAAATCAAACATATGCATAGTTTCTGTAATATTGTTCCAACATGTCTGTGCTCAGAAGTCGACAAAAATGTAGCCAAATTCCCTGCTACTACATGGATCAGAAACATGGACATTAACAAAGGAGATTCATACGTGCAAAGAGTAAAATGTGTTAAAAAGTGCACACTTGGAGCTGCAGTTGAAAGACAGCAAGAGCACCACATGGATTTGAGAACGTAAGCCTACCCCAGTCTCTCCCAGATTCCCTGAATCGGTGAGGCGCGGTGGACCAGTGGAACAGGCCTGGCCCCGTGAGCACTGGACCTTAAAATGGGTTTATGCACAAAGGGGAAATCGATTAATTATAAAGAATAATATTACGTTAGGCGTAACATACCTTCACGTGTTTTTATGTCAACGTGTGTTTAAATAATTATTAATATATTTCACACGGATATACCATTGAGGCCTAGAGACATGCAATGGCATGATCCATGACAAGTAACGTTATGCAATGTCTAAGAGGCCCATGTAATTAACGATGAGCACGAACGCACTGCTCCTTCATTTACATGAGATCATCTTTACGAGTTTATGTGATATGGTACCCCCATACAAACAAATATTATTGGAGTTGTGTAGTTGGAAAACGCGACAAAAAGTTTAAGAAACTATGAATTTTTTTTATTTTTAATTAAGGGAAGGAAAAAAAATCTAAAGTTCAGCTGCTTGGGCTTTAGGCAAGATATTTACAGTCAGTATTGATAGGTGATGAGTGGCTGATGTCAGATGAATTGACATGCATGAGGTTAGCAGCCCTTTAACATTCTTGAATGCATTCCAGAAGTTAATATGCAGATTGTGTAACCGATATGCACACACTAACAAAGCACAACTCCCAAAATAAATTGTGATTTTAAAACATTGGTCATGAAACCCCACAAACCTAGACCAATAATGAATGTGAATGGCAAGAGAGACCTTTGCCTGTTTATTAAACAACGAATAAAAGGTACCCAATTTCAAAACTCTATATCGATAGAAATGCAAATGAAACATTTAGTACTTTCAACGACTGATAAAGTACAACACAATGTCAGCCAAATGTTTTTTTAGAGACATTCGGGGTGAGTAAAATACACGTGGATGTGGGTCGCTGGGGTTTCACAACTGTCTTTTGATTATCCATGCAACTCGGCTATTAAAACTATTTTTTATTTTACCAGGTAAGGCCCCTCCCCAAGCTATATAGCTGTTTTATAGAGCCGTAAACATCTCTCACCAAACCCCTCGTGCACGCAAAAAAGCCCCATCAAACATTGCTTGCTGGGGGGGGGGGTCACGCCAACAACTCGAGGACTATGAACCACCACAATAACAACAACCCCTACCAACAACACGCCTCGGGAAAATAAGCGTCAACCAAAAAAGCACGCACGCACGCATCCGCCTCGCGGAGTGCGTCACAACAACGGCGATCAACACACGGGACCCACGATTCGTCCATGTTGGTGACGTGCCGAGTGGGGTGGGAAACAGACACATCATCATCATCATCGTCGTCGGCCTATGCGCGGCCCAAAAACGAGCCGAGCAAAGCTGCTGCTGCTGCTTGCTGCAGCTGCTCAACTACAGCACCGACATTTTCTGCACACAATTGGCCGTGTGGGGTTTAGTTGCACATCGATAGGAGGTGGGGTGTGTGGGGATGCGTCGTGACGCGTGAGAATGTTGTTTGCTTGCAAGCGACGGAGGAGAGGAGGGGGGGTAAGGCAACCCCCATCGTGTCGTTGCCTGCCGACGACCATTTGTGAGCTCCCATCAACAGCAACAAGACCCACATGTTTCTTCCTCAATGATCCCCCCCGTGGTCGACATCAACACGGAGGTGATCACTGGAACACCACAGCCTGTAACACGAACGATCATATTTGTTTTTTGGGCTAGGCCACGTATTAGTTTTATGCTAAATTAGGTATAAAAACCACGACTTGGCCGAAACAAAAAAAACTGGCATAAAAACTTCTGCGTGGCCTTACCAGATAAACAAATATAGATGATTGTTGTTCTTAGGTACGAAAACCAGCGTTTTAAATGTACATTCCACTGCCGAATGAAGACATCGCCACATATGTAAGGACTCCTGTGGGTTTTCGGTTATCACACTTCAACCCAAGCTAGTCGGTTCGGGTTCTTTAAGGCGGGGATCATAGAAGTACACCACAACAAAAGTTATCTGCTGCCCATCGCGTAAGCCCGCAGCCCGATTAAAATCTGTTTGCGCATGGTGGTAGCTCACCAGAACAGCACGAGTTCTGGCTATAAATCACGATACGCTATCAAATTGGCACTACTGTTGTAACAGTCTCAAAGTACTATATCCTAACAACGCGATGGACACAAAGGGCTTGCGAATAAAAGTCCCCTTTGTGGAATTAAACAAACGCGATCACGCCCTCGGTAAAGATAAGATGAAGGTGTCGCGTCACCGCTAAATGATTATTATTGCCGGACTAAGAGCCACACGAGCACGATGTTGAACTAAGACAAAGCTGGTACGTGGCCAATGTTTATCCATTTAAGAATAAACGCAAACACCGGGAACGCACCGTGACTCACCCCCCCCCCCCGCCGCTCTACCTGGGCCGTGCAGTCTACGAAGCGCAGTATATGCAGTACACGAAATGTCGAAATGTTTTTATCGCCGCTCACACCACTTCCAGATAGTGTAAAGAAAATATCTCGCACGTACCCCCGTTTATGAAACAAAAGGATGGTGTGTGTGTACACGAAGCTAAACCTGAGCGAGCACTCAACAAACTGCGGCGTCGTTAAGCGACCACTACTATCACGCCGACGATTATTGTGTGGACATGCGATGATGCTTGAACGTCCCCGTGAGTTGACAAAACAACAGCAACAACAAAACCTCGCTGGGTTCAAGCATGCGCCTGTGTTTTCATACTACAAACACGACCATCAAAGCGATGTAGCCGACCTGTTAAGACACACTGACTTGGCTGGAGCCATCTCTCCCCCTCTCCCTAGCACGTACGTATGTCCAACTTCTTTCGCACCGCACGTAGCCGACCGTGTTGCTTATCTGGAGTTGTGGGAAATTCTTTAAAAAATATAAATATGTATTAACGCCGGCCAGTTGTTGGAAGCGTAAAGGGGGACGGATACCACTGACCACGAGACGAGCGGTAAGGGACCCCCCCCCCCCCCCAGTGGGTCACGGGGCGCAGTCGTGAAGACTACGAAAGGATTCTAGATTTGAAGCTTTCGTGACTGCAAGGATTCACACTCTTAGGTTTTTTCGGTAAAGTCACGTAAAGAAAAATGAAAAAGGAAATAATAAAAAATGAATTTGTATTATTACTTTAACAATTGATTTATTTTCATTTATTATTATTTCATATTTTATTTTTACCTACGTGACTTTACCGAAAAAACCTAAGAGTACTACGAAGGGATTTGCGCCAATCGGATTTGGTCTCGAAGCCCTGATGGGCGTATTCCTTGACGCGCCGCTTCACTCACGTGAGGCGGATTTTGACGGTCATGTTATAAACCTTAATAGTGTGCGTGTGTGTGTGGGTGGGTATCTTTATCACAGTGGTTATTAACAAATCGCTTGCGATGAAAGAACACAACCAAGAGGCTCAACTCAAGGCCGAGCATAAAAGCAGAACGTTCTAAAATAAACAAAACATCGCGTCAACACGCGGAGCTGCCATTGCACGCGTTCAGGGCCAACCGAGCCATCGTGAGAGAGCACGTGATAGGTTCGCCTTACGACAATAACCACTTTAAACCATCTTTGGTGACGATTACAAATTGCCACGTTGACAGATACATCGCTTCTACGTAGTTTTAACACAGAGCCAGAAGCTCGGCCAAAACATTTTTCCACTAAACGGCTTCAATTAACAAAGTGTGTTGAGAAAAAAAAATGGCTACACGAACATTTAAACCACACCGCACAAGTGCCCGCGTCGTCTTGTTTGAAAAACCTGCGCAGCGCGGAGCGAAGAACGTTGTCGTAGCAACATCAGCAGCAGTAGTAGCTGAGGTAGCAATCGTAATGATAAACAGTGGCTGCTGCCGATAGACATTGGTCCCGGTTGTCGTGCCCGAGCTGGTCCATAACCCACGCTCCCGCCAGGGGGACACAGAGACCACCCCCCCCCCAACGCCTCCTCCCAACACGCGGCTCAGCGCCGCCGCAGCATCGAAATAAAAAAAACTGCCGGGACAAACGACAGAGAAGCTCGACGCTTCGAAGGCGTCTGCGACCTGTTATTAATTGGTACGATTCGTCGAGCGCTGCGGTTAACAAACACGCGGCGCCGCCACGCTCGCCGACGACGACGAGACAATGCAGCGTGGCGCACGCGTTAAGCACGCCGAGCGCGCTTCCGGTTCCCGGTGCGTATCGGGAAACGCCCCCTCCCCCCCCCCGCGCGAGACCCCGAGCACGTGACGGCCCCCCCCCCGCAACACCCCGAGCGCGTCACGGCCCCTCCCCCCGCACTCAAAACCCCAACTGGGATAAGCAACGGCGCCGCCTCACCGTTGGCGAGCGAGGCAGCCACGTGATCGAGAGCTCGCTCCCGATTGGTGGAGCGGCCGCGCATTTGCTGAAACGCTCTAGAGAATGCAAAGTGAAAACGAACGCCTCGCTCGCCGCATTACGCACGACGTCGCGCTATTGTTATACGCTCGAGTTGATGGCAACCCCCGATGATTTTTTTTAATTTCTGCGATTTAAAGAAACGGTTTAATAATTCTCGAGGGGCGCAATCGTCAAAAGATTCGCCGCCTCCCTCCTCACGAACCTTTTTCCCGCTCTTCGACGACCGTCGACGGCGCGTAGAAGCACGCAGGCGCTCAGAGCCACTGCGCATGCGCAGGCCACGCCGCAGCCCCACGTGACCCGCCGTTAAAGAGAAAAAAAACCGACGATCGACAACGCGTTATATATATTTTTTTAATCAACGATATCTAACGCGCGTCAAAATAGCCTAATGAATAAGCGACGTCAATTAACACCTCAGAAAAAAACCTAACAACTAAAATGAAAAGTTATTTTGAATCTGCAACTTAACGTCGAACGCGTCACATACCTCGCGCAGTGACGTCACTTCCGTTGTCACGTACACCCCCCCCCTATCGCGAGTCACCCCCCCCACCTCCGCCCACGTGGTTCTGATCACGCGGCAGCCACGTGGCTCGCACTTGAACTTGAGATGGCTGCCGCGGGGAAAAACGAATGTGGGCCATGTTGCAAGCCAAACTATGGTCCCGTGTAATAAACCACTCGAGTGCGCGCCCCTTCATCGACGAATGAATACCAAAGCCACGCGAAATCGATCTCTCTCCTCAAGGCATCTCGTAGCTGGATGACCACCTCGACACTCGCAATGAACTCATGAATAATAGCAGATAATGCAACGAGAAACGTCAGACCGCTCCTTCCTCGTGTGTCTTAAACTGACGCGCTGCTAAATACACAAAAGCATTCTTAATGCGTTTCATGAGAAAACCCCCGTGTCACTTTAGACACAATGACGTGATGGTTACAGTAATACACATGCGACCATTTTAAAGAGATTGTGTATTATTATGAAGACATCGCACAGATCTAGTTCTTTGTCAAGAGATTGTGTTTTAAATTGAGACTTTTTCTCCGACAGAAGCTACAGTACATTGTAATCAATGACCCACAAATCGCTAAAAATAGCAAATTATTGTCCCTTATATTGTTCAGGTTGACCAACGATCGATTTTACAAAGCAGATACAGTACTGTAATTATACACTTGTGGGTTTTCTTTCTTCCTCAGCCCCTATGCGCAAGTTTTATAGACGTGCTACAATACCTTTGAATAATACAAAAAGTCACAATGCTCACGTATTTACCAGTACAAGCTTACCGCCAAGTGAAGACGTCTCACCACCTCTGGGCACCGTGCAGACAAGACTGAAAAAGGAACGGCAATTTGTGAATTCAAACAAAAAAACCCGCGTGGAAATGGGCCCTTTTGAGCAGAAACAAATTCGCAGGGTAGCTTTATAGTCACTGGGAGAGCAAGTGCTCGTGGCTGGTTGGCTGGTGTGGGAACAAAGACGATCATGTGATTGTCTTGGCTGGCAGTAAGCTCCACCCAAGTACTTTTTCCCTCCCCCATTGCAACGTCAGCCTTTTCAGTTGGGCCTGCTTGACTTTTTATAAAACCGCCATGGAGCACGTGCTTTTCGTTGGACGCAGACCAGTAGCAAGAGTAGCATGTTCATTTCATGCTTTGCCCCTAAAATGGTGGGCCCTGAACATAGGGGAGCCACGGTGGCGAGATGTTCACTACCTCGCTTGGTATACAGGATCCCGACCCTGATGCCTGTATATTTGGAGTTTGCGTGTCTCTCTCCCCGTAGTCACATGGATTTTTCTCCGGTTTTCCCCTCTACATTTAGAAACATGGGTTTACAGTGTTTGGCTGTTATAAAGTTCTACGTGATACGCCACTATGTTGAGCTATCATTTGTGACCAGGGTCGCTTTGGAAAAAGAGCTATATAGATCAGTGGGCCTTACCTGATAAAATAAAAAGTTTAGCTTAGTTCTTAGTATGTAGCCAGAATCTACGATCCTGACTACGATTTTTATGAAAATTACATTTTGATGCGAATGCAGATTTAAGATAAAGTGAACAAAACGGCAATGGCGAAATATAAAATGGGGCACAATACAAATGAGTCAATGCACAATCGATCAAATCAAAAAGGGAGACTGTGCATGGCTATAAAACCCATTTTATTAAAGATAAGCTGTCCAAAGTTGAAGGCATGGTTAAGGTTAAAACTCGACTTCTAATGTACTTCCTCCTATTAATAGTTTTTGCCACTATAATTTAGTAATATGAATATCTATGTCAAGAGTAGAAACATAATTTTAGGATGCAAGAGTAATTTAGGTAGAGTTGGATCTTAGATACTGAATGAACGACCATTCAGTAGAGGGTATTCCCCAAACTTACTGCTTACTTATTTGGCACTTCCTGCCTGAAGCTAGGTTCTAGTATCCTTTATATTTGTTCTATTTATCCTCATACCGTGTTTTTTTCCCAGCCAGTTAATATTTCGAGATAAACTGACATGCATTTTGCACACGGAGCAGTACATAATACCTGCCATGACATGGATTGTAAATATGCATTCTGACAACTAAAGTATGTTGGATCGTGCTAAGAGACAGAAAGATCAGAGAAGAAACAGATTAGAGAAATCATATTGACTGAAAAGAAAAGGCGTTTGAACAGGACATTACTAGAAGGGTTAATAACAATGGATGGGACTGGTAATAGAGTTGGGAAGGGGGCCCGACCCACCATTGATCCCCTAGGACTGGTTTCCTGAAGACACCCCACAAAATACCCACGGACTTGTCGAAGAACATTGGGCCCCCTAAGGATACCCTGGAACTTGTCGGTGCTGCCTTGGCTGCCTCTGGCTGTCTTTGAGGCTCGATATTGGTACTGGACCTTGCTTGTTTTCCCCCATGTGATGGTGATGCTCTTTCTCCTATTTATGTATCCCTGCCCAGACTACGCCCCCACTCATCCCATGTAAGCTTTCTCAGGCTTCCGCCACAACCTATTCGTCTTCGTTCTCTCTTGATCTCTCTACATCCTGGATACTCTGATAAGTAGCTCCCACCTCTATGCAGATCTCCAGCAGAGCCACCACAGTGCCAATTAGGTGGTGTGGTGATGGCAGAGCCATCATTCCAGGCATCACAGCGGAGGTTACTGATAAACTACTCTCAGATGATGGAGCGGTGCTGTGGTTGAAGGTAGCATCCACTCAGAGTGTGCCTCTTTGACCCAAGCAATTGAGGACTGGATAGCTGACTTTAAATGGTTACTTCCCAAATCTCACCCAGGACTTTATAGGTATGTGTCACCCTTGATAAGGTGCCAGATGCTTTTCAAACTGGTCTTTTGCTGAGGCATATAAACAAGTGGTATATTCGAAGGTCAGAAGAAAAGCTCCCCGCCGACAAAGTTGCTGTTTCGGGGAGGATGGCATCTTCAGCCCCTACTCCTGATGCCTCTCTTGAATCGTGGCTCCTCTTTGTATGCAGCATTCGTTTATGCCACGCCTGCCACCAGACGAAGGAAAGTGAACAAAGGAGTCAAAACACGTGGGTGGTGTCTGAGTGTTTATTCATCAGACTACACATAGGGAATTGAGCACTGCACTTGGCAAAAGACCCCGAGTAATGGCTGCCCTTCCTGGTCCCCGACTCTCGACTTTTCCATC